ATATATATATATATATATATATATATATATATATATATATATATATATATATATATATATATATATATATATATATATATATATATATATATATATATATATATATATATATATATATATATATATATATATATATATATATATATATATATATATATATATATATATATATATATATATATATATATATAGTTAAAGTCTTTTTTAAAATATTTCCCAAATTATGTTTAAGGGAGCAAGGAAAAATTTTAACAGTATGTCTGAAAATATTTTATCTTCTGGGGAAAGTCTTATTTGCTTTATTTCAGCTAGAATGAAAGCAGATTTAAAATTTTTAAACCCCATTGTAAGATCAAAATTATTAGCCCCTTTAAGCTAAAAGTAATAAAAGAAAAACATTTCTCCAAAAAAGAAATGTAAAAGGAAGTACTGTAAAAATGCCTTATAGAGCTCATTCACACTGAATGTGTCTTTGCTTTTATACTGTAAAAAAATCTTGCTTCCTTTTTTTGTGACTTTTTCAGTAACTTAGTAACTTTTTTTTAATTTTTAGTCATCTCAACTTAAGTCAAACTGAAAAAAAATATCACGTTAAACTTTGCACAACTAAAAACAAATAGTTGAGACCTGATACACTTATTAAATTAAGTTAAAGTGACATAAACGCACTGGTTGTCAATACTTTTTGTCATAATTTTTTAGTGTAAAAAAATAATTACTTAAAGGCAGCATTCCAGAATGAAACAAACAAACTAAAAATGTAGCATAAAGAATGAGTGTATCCAGACACAACCACTGAGTGCTTATAAACAGAAACTTGCAACAAAATCCCACCTCCAAGTTGATCTGATTTTTTTTAATTGTTAAACAATAGAAAATTAGCACATTAGATAGGAAAATTTCTGTGTCAACGGCTTCTTAAACTGCAGTCTAATGACTAACTGAGACATGAATGCTTAGTGTGTGTGTGTGAATGAGTGTGTGAGAGTGTAAGAAAGACCTTTTGGATACTTATCTTGATATGTTTGCGAAAACAAAACAAAAAATAGCTCAGTTCTCAAAACACAGTAAACATATTAAGTGTATTTATAATGGCACACACTATAGTCTGCTGTTTTACTCTATAGAACTCCATATAAAAGCCAGAGATTTGTTATGTGTGTGTTTATACTCACCCATGGCATTGCTGTTGAGCAGGAGGATGCCATGAGCCTTTTTACTTTTCTCCATGCCCATGTAGAAAGGATGGATTCCGTAACTGTTCAGCTTGTACTACAGATGTAGAGACAGAGATTAGAGTTTGAGTTTGCGATGTGATTTCAGTTCAGTGTTAAACAGACAATTAAGTGTTAATGAGAGATTTTTATGTGGCTTAAAGGAATGAACCTTGCAAATCCCATCTCTCTGTTTTAATTAGGCTAATTACATCTCCCTCTCTCTTTCTTCCTCAGTGTAACTCTCACTCTTTTGCTTCTCTCTTTCTTTGGGTTTTGTGTCATGAAGTGAGTCAGGAATAAAATCATTAGCGAGTCTATTATGAACCAACGACAGCCCTAAAATGTTAGCAGGTCTGAGCTGAGAAGTGAAAGAACTGAGTAATGTCACTCTTTAAAACCGATTCATACAAGAGAAGTCCTCTGCACTTTCTACAGGATCTCTTCTGGGATCCTGCTGATCAGATGCCAAAGCCTACATTTATAATAATAATATTAATAATTTATTACATTTAAAAAGCTCTTTTCTAGACACTCAAAGTGCTTTACACATTTTTTGGGGAAAATCTGCTTTACCAGCAGTGTGCAGCATCCACCTGGATGACCCGACGGCAGCCATATTGCTGCGGCAGACCAAACACTAGCTAATTGGTGGAGAGGAGATGGAGTGATGAAGCCAATTATGGTATGGGGATGGTTAGAAGGCCATGATAGACAAGGGCCAGAGGGAAAATTTGGCCAAGATGCCGGTGTTAAACGATCTACTCTTTTTCGAAGGACATCCTGGGATTATTAACAACCACAAAGAGTCATGACCCCAGTTTAACATCTCATCCGAATTACTGTTATTTTCTTGTGTGTGTGTGTGTGTGTGTGTGTGTGTGTGTGTGTGTGTGTGTGTGTGTGTGTGGTTTTACTATTAACATATTTAGAAAGTAGACTTTTCGCCCACAAAGACAGCATTTATTTGATCAAAAATAAATCATGTAGAAACATTACTAAAATAAAAGCATTATTTCAAATTATAATTTTTATATTAGAATATATTTGAGCTATGTTTTGTCAGTTATAACCAAAACAGCTTTTCATTTTTGTGTAAAACATAATACATTTTTCTTGATGCTTTGATGAACAAAAGGTTCAGATGAATAAATCGGGCCAGGCCGGGCCAATCGCCCGGGAGGTTGAGCAGTGAGGCTGAAATCATGTTGCGTTTCCACTGTCGGGCTTGTAGCTCGCAGCGCGTCACGCAAACCCCACCCCCAGAACGACCCCCTAATCAAACGTCACACAACCCACCCACTTTAGGGAGAATCAGGCAAATAAAGCACAACATCGCATCATCACATCATTAAAATGAAGACTAGCGAAACAAACAGACGACACGTTACTGTACAGCATTACATTATATGTCTACACGCACAGGCCTGTGTGTTCTCTACTCACCAACTTGGCATTGTGGATTGAGTGGTCTCGCCACTAACGGAGGGACCCAGCAAAGTGAGAGCATCAGAAAACTGTGCCCACCTTTCCTTTCACTACGCCCCAAAGCCCCAGTTGGCCTTCTTTGGCCCAAGGTATTCGGCGGGCCAAAAAAGGCCAACCGCTGGCCCTGAGAAAGCCCCGCTTAGGCCCTGGAAGTGACAGTGGAAACGCGACTGGCCTTGGCTCGCCCTGGCTTGCTGGCTTTAGGCGCAATAGTGGAAATAGTGGACTATTGACTTCCATAGTCTTTGTTTTTCCAGAAAACAGAAAATAAAGTAACTCTTAAAGATTTGGAACCACTTAAGGGTTAGTAAATATTGAGTAAATATTTAGTTTAGGGTGAACTAACCCTTTAAACCAGAGTCAATCTATAGTCTCGGGTGTTCTTTAACACAATGTGTAAAGTATGTGTGACAGATCCCTTAAAAACTCACCCCTGGAGGCTGGTCTTTGGCAAACAGTCCATATGTGTGAAAGTTGAGGTCATGTTTATAGCTGGGATGCTCTGTCTCACCAAAACCATAGACATATTCGGTGGGGAGACGTGTGGAGATCTGGATGAACTGATCTGAGAAGATGAAGCCTGGCAGAACCGAATCAAATCTAGAGAGAATGAGAGTGAACAAAACATGTTTTCTGCCTTCTGAAACATAAGCTCCTTTCATTAAGGAGGCAAACTGTGCTTTTATAGTCCTAAAACTCTCTGAAAACCCTAAAAGTGCACCATCAGCGCAGCTATTCAGAGCTATTTCTAGACTAAACTCACCAGCGTTCTCTACAAAACTGACTCTCTCTAGCTCCAATTAATTTGTAGCTGTAATACCTTTGGGAGCTTTGGGCATGATAATCCCTTCCTAAAACAATTTAAATAACACATCCGAATGTATGCATTTCAATTAATAATAATATAATAATAAGTACTCTTTCTTTGACAAGAAAACATTTAACTTAAACATTAAAGCATAAGCTAGGAATGAATACTGATAAAAGTTCAATTCAATTTTTTTCAATTCAGCTTTATTTGTATAGCGCTTTTACAATGTAGATTGTGTCAAAGCAGCTTCACTTAAATGGTCATAGTAACTGGAACCGTGCGGTTCAGTAACTGGAACAGTGTGGTTCAGGTTTTAGTTTTTAAGTTCAGTTCAGTTCAGTTTAGCTCAGTTCAGTGTGATTTAATCATTACTGAGAGTTCAAACACTGAAGAGCCAATTCATTGATGCGTAGCTCTACCAATCCTGAACCATGCGAGGCAGTGGCGACAGCCAACAAAAGTTGACTTTGAATACAATGAAAAAGATCAAGCACAGGCATAAATATAAATGCAGAATATTAACGCATAATGTGATTAAAACGGTGAGGAAGAATGTAATATAAATTAGAGTTGTGCCGATAGACGATGCCATCATTCATCGCAGATGCCCGACAAACTTCAGGATGCTGAGTCGGCATCGCGATCCATCGCCCCGCCCCACATTTATATTGATATGTAACTTATTATTTGCATTTCATCTTAATAGCAATAACGGTCTTTTCATGAGCTGTAGTAAATGTTACATATAGGTGACGCTCGCACGGCTGACAGCATTGTGAGGATTAAATACAGCACCTATCACGCTTAAAATGTGTGGATTCAGTGGCAAACGCTGTTAACTGCAAACCCCGTCCCACAGACTTTACAGTGAATGACTTTAGTCATTTTTATAACAGACTTGAAGCCACTGAAAGTCTTTTATCCACTCTTGGAAAAGGGTAAACGGTGGATTAACATTCAGCACATGATCACTAATAAGATGTGCCATTATTAGTAACTTTAGGTGTTTTCTAAAACAAAATCTGTCAGTGTTATTTTCATTCTCTCATCTTCAGTGCTTCACATTTTCGCAGTTGCAGCTCCTGTCATCTGAAGGCAGAAGGCATTAACTAAGTGATTGACAGCTGATATTAACCAATCATTCATGTTCAGTTATAGAGCAGTGGGCCAATAAGAAAAGCACAAAGGCGGGGCAAGCATTGCAGGCTTTTTTTTTTACTTAAAGTTCACATAACAACTGTTTATCTGTTCCTTAATGCTGCGTTTGGCGTTTTTAGGTGCAAAGATGTATTCTGCATAAATGTCTGCTAAATCCGCACATGCGGTGAGGATTTTGCAGTAAAAACAGTAAAAATGTCTGCACTACAGTGAACTCTAACCGAACTCTCGTCTCCTCCACCAGCTGTGGGAAAAGCCATTGGAACGACACAGATCACTGTGCCTATTCATGCCAGAGTCCCGCGGAAAAAAAGTGATTGACAGGTGGTCATTTGTGGGTAACTTTATTTTTTTATGGTTTGGTTATGGGTAAAGCAAAGACCATGTGGGTCAGGTAGTGAAAACGGTAGGCTACAATTAATTAATTCGTTATGAATTAATTGATATTTAACAACCACCCCCACCCCCTGTCTACAACAACGATGGCATCATCTATCATGATGTTTCACATTAGACATCGTACGATGCCAAATTAGTCAACATTGCCCAACCCTAATATATATATATATTTCCATAGATCTTCATTTAAATGAAATCCAAAATCAACTGTCACCCATAAAATGTAACAGCCATTTAATTTAGACATGCCATTTTCAGTTCCATCTACCCGCCAATTGATTTAACATTACGCCCAACTTTGACGCATCATAACACCAAGTGTGAAAATTGCAGAAACATAGGATTTACAACATCTGAAGATTGTAAAAAAAATATAAATTTTATATGAAAAGCTAAGACATCTCAATAGTCTGCCATAGACTTAGGCCCTGTTTACACTAATGCGTTTTAGTTTTAAAACGCATACGTTTTTCTACAGTTACGCCATCCGTCCACACTACGCCGGAGATTTCGAGCGCCGAAAACAGAGCATTTTGGAAAGGTTGAAAAGGCCTTTTTAATTCTAAAACACTGCTGCTCCATCTCAGTGTGGATGGGGGAAACAGAGACATCTGAAAACGGAGGCGGGGCTGCAGACATTCACCTCTCTGATTGGGGCTTTTCCTCAATATTAAGAAGCCTACACACACCAACTGACACAGGTAGGTCAGGTAACCATGACAAAATGGTGGATGTAGTACGTCCGAATTCCATTCATACTTTTCACATTCATACTGTATAGAACGTACTTTTCTAACAGCCGAGTAGTACGGTGTTTTACTCACATAACTTCTGATGTGTCTTTTCTTATCACTCGGATCCCAAATGGCTCTTCGTTGATTTCCACCTTATAGGTTTGCTCACCCCATAACGGAGGTGGGTTTGGCAGGTTGAGGGGAACAGGGACCTCATAGCGGGCCTTTTCTGGATCGTAGATCTAAGACAACAGAATAAAACTATTAAAATCCAGTTCATGACCCCTTTCATACATAATAAACACATACTACACAGCATGCTTTTAGGTTTAACTCCCAAAAGAATCAGCTAAACTTTCAATGCAGTGTGAATAACCTGAATGTTGGACTCTTCGATTTAAAAAAAAAAAAAACACACCTTCCACCGTAGGCAGATTTCATCATGGAATGTGATTTCCACGCGAAGCTTGTTGATGTCTGGAGACTGAGAACGCTGACTTGGGAAAGCTGTATTGATCTCTAAATCTGCAGTGATGCCATACATATTTTCAACCACGTTGCTGGCTTTGTAGCCATGGTTCTCTGAGTAATAACACATGGGAACAGCTAAAGGCTAGGAAAGAGGAAAAAGCAAACATATGCAACGATTGTTACAGCTAATGACAGAAAATGTTCATAGAAAATGGAGTAGAAAAAAAGTAAATCTAAACAGTTTACAGTTTAAAAAACCTAACTCCTAAATATATATGCAAAGCAAAGCTGAAAAATACTTTGGATCTTACGTTTTAAGTCATATACACATGCACTAGGATGATTATCATACGTGATTATTGCAGACATTTAATACCTCGTGACTAAACAAAAGTCGCTAATGTGAGTATGTACACAGATCTGCAGAACGCTGTGTATAAAAGTAAAAAAAAATACACTTGTTTTTTCTTTGAAAATCAACATTAATAACTGGCCAACCAACGCGATTGGAGCATTCATTCTTGTGCTTTGAGCTGCTGAAATTACAGTGCAACTTTTTAGAGCTCAAGGACAAAATGGTCTAGCTGAGCACACAAATGAAATGTTTTAATTCATTTCACTTATTTTTACTACTTAATTTTGCAGTAACTTTTTACAATTCCTTTACTGTGGCTGTTTCTCAATACTAAGTAGGCAGAGTTCGGACTTGCGTACATGGATATTCAGACTTGGAAGAACGAATTACCGAGGACACGAGGACACAAGTCGGGTACTTCTTCAAATGGAATGGCAGTGTACTTTATAACGTCACTTAACTCACCATGGACTCATCGGTTTTACTGTACATTAACAAATAAAGCACGGCCTTATAATTAATATTCTATTAATATTATAAAATCTACAATTTTGATTAAAGAACATGTAAACACAAATCACTATAAATGTGAAGTAAAACGTGTTATTATTCACAGACTCGTGTCTTTTATTATCAGATTTAATAAACCACAATGGACGTTATACAAGTAATACTACACCTGAGAACAAATAATACATTAATAAGACCAAAAACTGTCCATTAGATTTGCACAAAATGTATTAAATGTCATGTTTTAACTACAATGGAGTGATGAGATCCAGTGATACATCTGAGATAGACTGGCCGAAGTAAAGCTGCTATCGGCGGGGGTAGCTGGTGATGAAGCTCCCGCTGACAGGCTGGGGGTCAGAGTTCGTATAAGCTGAGCAAATCGTCAAAGACGCACTATCTTTGTGAATAAACTGCCAATTCGAATTTAAAACAACTACATTCTTGCCGGAAAAATTGTTAAAACTTTATTTTGTGACACAGTAAAGGAGTATTTTTAAAATCGTGCGGGTTTTCTCCTCCACCATTAGCTTTTGCTGGTTACGGTGGAATGCATTCTGGGATACCTGAGCTTCACAAGTTCGCACAAGTCACCTCTCGAAGCACCCTTGGCCAAAGGGGCAGAGCAAGTACACATCCGGGAACTTTATCTGTACTTGGCATGATGTGATCTTTGAATTGGAACAGTAATTCGGCGATGGTTGATGACATTTCATGAGGACACAAGAACGCAAGTACAGACAAGATCGCATATTAAGAAACAGCCCTGGGGCCTCATGTACGAAGACTTGCGTGGAAATCTTACTAAAACATTGCGTACGCACAAAGCTGTAAATGTGCGTACGCAGAAAAAAATTCAGATGTATGAAACACTGCGTACGCCGAGTCTCACGCATATTCTTTTGTACATCCGAATGAACGTGAAACTGAGCGCAACATGCACGAGCACAAAACCCCTCCCTGCCTCCTCCCCCGTATGAATATGCTAATGACTATGCTAATGTAAAAACCCAACGAAAAAGCAATGGCAAAAGCAAGCAAAAAGAGAAACTTTGAACAGAATGTGAAATGGAGGTGCTGCTTTCGGAGGTAGACCGGAGAAAAGCGGTGTTATTTGCAAGTTTGTTCGGCGGAATTAACAACAAAAGAAAAAAAATAGAGTGGGAGAGTTTAGCTGATGCGGTTAACACAGTTGGGTCTGAACATCGCACTGAGTGCATTTAAAAAAGAAATAGTGTGGTTTATATCTGTAAAATGTTGCAATACCCTTCGCAGTCTCAGTGGCGCACCTCATAAGAAGCATATGATCATGTACTGACACGTTCGAGCGTAAACTCGGCTCGAATCCAGCGTCTGATGAATTCATTCTTCTTTTTTTCCCCGCTACATATCAGATTTTGCCCACTATTTATCACGAGAAAGACAAGTAGGAATCATCAATAAGTTTGTGCATCATATTTTATTTGCACATTTATTGAATGGAAATGTTTCTGATTCACGCATGCAAATTTATCTTCACATAGTGTCTTTATAGCAATGTGCGTGCAGTAGATAGCTCAGATTACATTGGGAAAACAGGCGACCGCTGCAAATTGTGCTTTAATGTTTAGCTGGTCAACTGTATGGTATGGAAATCTTACATACCTACTATATGAACCCGTTTCATACAGACGCCATTGCAAGGATCAGACACTTTGTAGAGAAGAATTTAACACAACTGCCTCTAGGAGTCGCCAATGGAAATAAAACAGACACGCACAAAAAATGTGCGTACGCCTGCCAGAAACCTGCCGTGAACCTGCGCAAATTCCCACGTTCAGTTCATTGTTAGTAAATCCAAACGTGAGCGATTCTGAGCGTGAAACCTGGCGTACGCAAAGTTTTTGTGCGTACGCAGCGTTGATACATGAGGCCCCAGGTGTTTTTGTGCTATAGTCGAGAAGGTTAAACAGAAGTGCAAAATATTATGGGATAAATACTTAAGAAAATAAAAAGTATGAGGGTAACAGTGATGTAAACCTTCACATAAACTTTCAGATTTTGGAAAATAAATAAATAAATAAAAACTCAAAAAACAGACGCAAGCTAGTGTCCCAGTATGTATGAGGCTTTGTGTTATTTAAGACTTTCAGACTATCTATTTTCAGATATTTTTCAACATAAATGTTCTTAGTACAACAACAGGTTTAAATAATGAAGATTTTCTCTGACCTCCCATATGCATCCACGTCCTTCACATTCAGCCTTAGTGGCACCCTCCTCCGGGTAGCAGTCGATTCTTTCGGCTTTGGCCTCCCAGCTGATAGTGTATGACTTCCCGAGTTCCAGCTCCAGATTCCTCAAATTCAGCACCTAGAAGACCAATGATTCATGTCACGCAAAAAATGACAGCAGGCCTCAATTATATAGAGTCACGCATAAACAGACCTTGATTATTTCTCAAAAACCCTATCAATTCTCAAAAATGTGATCCAGAGAAAACAAATATGCAAAAATCATCTTAAAACTGTGCACAGCTCACTGAAACCAAATTTCTGCTTTTTACACACCACTAATTAATGTAATTAGCAGATAAAAGAGCATCAGTCAATGTTGGAAACTGTTGTTTGAGAATGGTGACGGACAAGATAACTTTAGCAAGGTTGAAATTGGAGGATTGTCTTGTTTTTTTTACAGGTGAATTGGGTATAGGCTAAATTGTCTGTATGAGTTCAGGAGTCAATCAGGACTTTGAAAATTTCATCTTTAAAAATTTGCCTTGAAAAAGGTCAGTTTTCTTAAATTTCAGATGTTTAACATTCAACCTAAGAAATTCAAATGAATATATTCAAATTCAAGACTATTTTAATGGCATATACCATTCAGTTTTATTAAATTATAATTGTTAATTATTCAAATGAACACAAGTCAAATTCAGATTGTTTTGGCATATTATAAGCTCCATAATCAACAGGGAAAAGTAGATAATCAAATAAATGTTAAAACCAAGCATTTTGGCCAATTTTAGATGTTTAATTTTCAACTTGAGAAATTCAAATTAATTGATTCAAATTCACGTCATTTTAATGGCATATAACATTTAGTTTTTATTAAACTAGATTTGTGAATAATTCAAACGAACACAAGTCAAATTCAGATTGTTTTGGCATAATTGAAGCTCCATACTTTTCTCACTGAAGCAATTTTTTTTTTCCTCGCAAAATTTATAAATACAAACATTGCCGAGTTTGAATTTATTAATTATGAGCATCTGACATTGGCCAAAATGCTTGGTTTAACTGTTCGGTGATCATCTACACTTCCCTGTTGATTCTCAATCTGAATTTCTGGTTTTGAATGTTAGAATACTGAATTTGATGTTCCACATTTCTTCATCTTGAAAACTGTGTTGTTGTTTTTTTTAACAAACTGGTTATCTGCAGTCTAGCAAATCAGAACCCCCCTAAAAAATCTGAAGCTTGAAAATTTGTCTGGAAATATCTGCCTTATAATATTCAGTTGTCTTAAACTTTAGATATTCAATAATCAACTTAAGAAAATCAAATTCAAGACAGTTTTTAATGGCATTTAATATTCAGTTTTATTAAATTAGAATTGTTAATAATTATAAGGAACACAATTCAAATTCAGATCATTTTGGCATATTTAAAGCACCATATTTTTTGTCACTGAAGCATTTTTTCCCACGCAAAGTTTATAAATACGAACATTCTCATGCATACCTTCACTATTATGGAGCTTACGATATGCCAAAACAATCTAAATTTGAATTGCTTTCATTTGAATTATTAACAATTGTAATTTAATAAAATATAATATTGTATGCCATTAAAAATGGTTTGGAATTTGAGTTTCTCAAGTTGAATATTGAACATTTAAAATTGGCCAAAATGCTTGGTTTGACTTTTTCGGTGATCATTTACTCTTCCCTGTTGATGACCCCTGACCTACTTTCTGCAACTGAATTTCACAATGTGAATTTCTGGTTTTGAATTTTAGAATAAAGAATTTGATATTCTGAATTTCTTCATCTTGAAAACTACAAACTGTATATCTGCAGTCTAGGAATTCAGAACCAAAAAAGTGAGAAAATCTGGAAAAATCCAATAGAAAATAGGAAATAGAAAATTCTATAGAAAATTCAAATGAAGAAATTCAAATTCAAAACTATTTTTAATGGCACAGAATAATTCAAATGAACACTATTCAGATTCAGATTGTTTTGGCATATTGTAAGCTCCACAATCAACCGGTATATGCAGATAATCAAATAAATATTAAACCAAGCATTTTGACCAATTTCAGATGTTTAATATTCAACTTAATAATTCAAATTAAGAAATTCACAACAAATTTTAATGGTATATGATATTATATTTGATTAAATTTTAATTTTTAGTAATTAAATTAAACACAATTTAAATTCTGATTATTTTGGCATATTTTAAGCTCCATAGTTGATGACCCCCCTTCTGACTTACTTTTTAGTTTTTTTATCTGAATTTCACAATCTGAAATTCTGGTTTGGAATATACTGAAATTGATGCTCCGAATTTCTTAATCCTGAAATTTTTGAAAATCTAAAAAATCTGTTAATAACTCAAATGTACACAATTCAAATTCAGATCGTTTTGGCATATTTGAAGCTCCATACTTTTCTCACTGAAGCATTTTTGCCATGCAAAGTTTATAAATACGAACATTCCCTTGCGTACGAGCACCCTGAGATCAAGGTGTGTGTATGCATGATTTATAAATGAGGCCCAGCAAGTGTTTAACGTCAGAATCCCAGCAGTGACAAATACCTGTGAGTCTCTCTGCATTACTGGCCGGACGTGCCATAAATTACAGCGGCTGACATTAATGTGTCACTCGCAGTTTAAGACTAAAGTTTGCACGTCCTCGCGTTGTCATTCCAGGACCTTGAGGTCTGGGAGAAAGTGATGCCCTTCATCATAGCCTAATGCTGGCATGCTTTTGAGAGGCCTGACAAATTCAATCACTAGTCCGTGAGCATCTCCGGATGCTCAGCTGGAATGACAGGATCTCTCCTGGTACTCTAGGGATTCCTGCTCCGTATTATACACAAGTCAGGCTCTATTTTGCCGACATGGTTTGCTGGCCCTGGCTCGCAATCCTAATTACGTTACGTCGCCGGTGATATTTTTTACATTTTTCACTTAGTTTAGAGATGCTCTCCGAATGTCAGATTAGAGAACTCTGAAGGACAGCTTTTTTCAGATCCCTTTTTATTAATCTAGACTTTTAATGGAAGTATTAGAGTTTCTGTATATTTATCTCCTTGTTAGCTTTCCTTTTTGACTCAAGCTGCATTGCATCATGTACATTTGCATACCAATGTATTGTTTTTGGTTTCTTCATCTTACCCCAGACCTGCTTAATAATGTTCATGTCTGGTGATTGGGCTGGCCAATCTTAGAGCCCCTTGAGCTTCTTTGCTTTCATGAACTTTTATGTGGAGGCTGAAGTATGAGAAGGAGAGCTGTCCTGCTGGAGAAATTGCCTTCTCCTGTGGTTTGTAATGTAATGGGCAGCACAAATGTCTCGATACCTCAGGCTGTTGATGTTGCCATCCACTCTGCAGATCTCTCGCACGCCCCCATCCTGAATGTAACCCCAAACCATGATTTTTCCTTCAACAACATAT